TGCTTGAGCGGCGCGCGCATACGTGGGGTGAGCCGAGTCGATCAGCTGATACTTAGGGGATGTTGGCGTTGGCATAATTTCAACAATTAATTACGCGAAAGTGAAAAATCGTGGAGTAGTACTTCTCGCTTCAATTTTGTAGAGAATTTTTTCCTCTACAGAAAGATATTTTTTTTATCTCGATCTGATGAACGAGAATCAAACCGTCAGTGATATTAGTAGTAATGCGCTCATTGTCAATGGTTTTTAATTAATTAAAAATATTTCCTGCCAAATTGAGAGATAGGACATTTCGTTATTTTCTTCAGCTTAATTTTCGGAATAAGATCGTATCTTTTTTATCAGTTCGGGAATTATTTGAACCCCAAATACCAGATTGACTGGGCTATTCAGGCATTGCTGAAATCACCGAAAAATCCCCAAGCAACTCCCCTCTTCCGCTTTCGCACACGTCAGAGGCTCAGCGTCGTAGGTCCTATGCTTAAGCTAAGGGGAGGCCCGAAAACTGGTAGATGTGGGGGTGTAGAGACGACCCATTGAACTGACCAAAACCATGATTGGCTCCCTATTTCCCCTTGGGGGTTGTAACTTTGACTTAAGTTTAGTGTAAAAAAATAGCGTAAGAAAAGATTACCAGTTATACGAACACTTCAATCCCAATCTTAGAAAAGAAAACATCTCATGTGAATTAATAGATCCATTGGATAAATGCGCGAACTTGTAATATTTGACAAGAGTGTAAAAACTACAGCGATATTATTCTACAAATATAGAATAACTCTGCATGTAATTAAAATCGGTGTTCTCATTTATTTGAATATTCCCGCACTTATAGAGTAGAGTGCTTTAGCGCTTCGCGGGCAACGGACCCGTTTTGCCGAACTTGTAACGTCCCGACGTTGAATTCCGTAGATGGCACTATTAGTCGGCCATAAAAATCCGCGAGATTCAAATTATGGTTCGGAAATGATTTTTAAAATGATATTTTTTAAATGTAGTATGCTGAGAAGTACGGAAAAGAAAGGACAACGAACAAAGGAAGAAAATAACTCCACAATCGTGAGAAAAACCATGACAGAAAATTGTAAATGTCAAATACTTGAGTTTAAATCCAAATTTATTGCCCTCCAAAACTCGTCACAGAAAAGGCTTTACCTTGAAAAAGCTAAAATTTAGAGAGGAAAGTAAAATTAACAGTCACGGTCCCAAGTCGTAAAATCTCAGTTCTGTTTATTTCGAAAGTTCCTGTGTAGTATGTGTTCGACACGTGTGGGCTCTCCTTTGTTCATTGTATCGCTGAGAGGGCCTAAAACCCTCTGAGGGGAAAACTTGCGACGTCACACGCTCCCAATTCTTCCCTTGGGTTTCACTTTTTCCTTTCCCCTGGGCCAGGTTTGCGTGCGCAACTTGTGGGCTAGTGGGGGTTGTTGGATCCAACCCTAAAAGTTAAGTTTAAGTTTTAGTTAGTCCCACCGTGGCTATTGTTTCGACAACTTTTCGAGCTTCTCTCTTCAATTAGTTTTCATTAAAGTTTACTTAGAGTCTTCATAAGTGTATTGAATGTGTAGTTGACAGTTTAAAGTTTTTCGAGTTCAACATGTTTAATAAATAAAGTGTTCATGTGCTCTCCTAAGCACTGGTCTAATAGATTTATTTCAAAAATGAACCTTCAACCCAATTATTCCGTCACGAACGACTCAACTTCGATGGAGTCCTCATTAGAGGTTTAGCGGCTAACGTATCCACTCTTCAAGTTTGGCGCTCAATATTTCAAAATGCACCACTGTGGTCCTAGTCACATCGACAGGACATAGCAAACGAAAATATAGGGGATTCAAAATTGTACACAACAACGTAACCACACAAGCGATGCTCGGTTAGCTGACTAGCGATTGGGAGTGTTGTGTATAACACTGGTTATACAATCGAGTCCCTAACAATTCCCTAGTGGTGCTTCTATTGCGTGACAAAAATCGACATTACGTTTAAAATTATGTAGAGTCATCATGTAAAACCAAAAATGTATGTAAATACTAAAAATTAGTAAAATAAGTAAAAATTGGATAAAATAATGAAATGGGGAAAATTACAGAGCCAAGCAAACAATTAGGTTTCTAGTACCACTAGCCCTGGAGATCCAAGAACGACGGTACAATGACGGTATAGCGTCGTTGTTGCGTCGTTGATTTTTATTGTCGATTTTGGGGCTAGAAAATGGGGAATGACCCCTAAAAACATGATAAAAGTTGATATATGAAGTATTTATTCATATTGGTGCCGTTAATTGCATTGTTATTTATCAATTAGATGAAATTATTCTTAGTGTTAGGAAGCCAAGGGGAGGGAGTTGCCGAATTTGACTGAACCACCCTCATGATTTGATGAAATAGTAGAAAATGTTAAATAAATAATGAAAATCGCGAAAATTGATCATTTACGAGGGGTTGCAGGGGGAGGTATGATGGTGGAGGGTTGCAAAATTTACTCAAAAATTTATTCAAAAAGCGGAGGGGGTTTCAGAATCTAGCTGAGCCACCCCCATCCCTCCGTTAGCAGGCGTTGATTGAATAAAAAAAATTGTTAAATAAAAAATGAAAATCTCGAAAATTGAGATTTCGCGAGGGGGGCGGGGGGCAGGGGAAGGTACAACGGCGGAGGGTTGCAAATTTTAACCAACTAGGGGAGGGGATTTCAGAATCTATCTGAGCCACCCCCCCATCTCTCCGTTAGCATGCGTTGATTGAATAAAAAATGCAAATCTCGAAAATTGAGACTTTGCGAGGGGGTGGAAGGGAGAGGTACGACGACGGAGGGTTGCAAATTTTATCCAACAAGCGGGGAGGGGCTCCCAAATCTGACTGAACCNGGGGGGGGGGGGGCTCCCAAATCTGACTGAGCCACCCCCATGTGTTTATTTTAAAAAAAGTTTCAAAAAAATCGTAAAAAAATTCTTAAATGAACAAAGAAAATCGCGAAAATTGAGAATTTATGAGGAGCTGGAAGCGTGAGGTATGATGAGGGAGGGTTGCAAATTTTACCCACTAAGGGAAGGGGTTTCCTCAAACTCACTGAGCCACTCCCATCTCTCTGTTCGCATGCGTTATTCAAATAACATTGGAAATTTTTGAATAATAAATAAAAATCTTTGTTAATTGAAATTTCATGAGAAGGTGGAAGGGGGAGCTATGATGGCGAAGGGTTGCAAATTTTACCCAATAGGAGGAGGGGTTTCCAGAATCTATCTGAGCTACCCCTCATCTCTCTGTTTGCATGGATTAATTACATAACTAAAAAAGTTCTTGAATAACGAATGAAAATTTCGTGGAAGGAGGAGGTACGACGACGGAATGTTGCCAATTTCACCCAACAAGGAGACGGGGTTCCCCAATCTGACTGAGCCACCCTCATGCGTAGATTTAAAAAATTGTATAAAAAAAATAAACATTGAAAATCGCGGCAATTGAGATTTTGCGAGGGGATGGAAGTGGGAGGTGCGATGGCGGAGGGTTGCAAATTTTACCCAACAAGTGGAGGGGGTTTCAGAACCTTTCTGAGCCACCCCCATCCCTCCGTTCCCATGCGTGGATTGAATAAAAAAAATATATCAGGGCCGCGAGGGAGGAGGAGGGTTCAACCCTAACACTTTCTGATCTTCATATTCGGGCTCTTACAATCTGACCCTTAGATTTTGATCCTTCTGATCCTCATGTTTTTACCCATACCTTTTGACTCCTAGATTTTTATCCTCAATTCCTCTTCATTCAATGTTAGAAATTGTGAATTAAGGAAAATATACACATACATATAATAAGACTAGAACGAATAAATTTAAATTAATCTAATCATGAAGACAGAATCAGGAAGGAAATAAAATAAAATGAAATGGTATCCATTAATCTAGCGATGGGCGCGAAGCGAAGCCCATTCGATAGTATTACAATCTAGGGGTAAAAATGTAAGGATCACAAGGGGAAAAATTAATTGTTTACTGAATTATTAACTCAATAAGCCATTCATTTAATTCTTAAGCAAATTTATCTATCGACAAATTAATGAATGACTTAATTTATCGATTCATCAGTATAGTTTCTGTTTCGACGAGAGTTAAACAAAAAAACGATGGAGAGCCGGGATTCGGGAAAGGGTTGAGAAGTTCATAAATAATAACAACGTCACTGTGCGCGTGGGTAGAGTCACAATAAAAATCTATATTTCTCACAAAATATATATAAAGCTCGAAAAATATTCGCGTCACAATGACAACTAATCGTTACCAATTAGTTTGAAATGAATAAGAGCGTTCACACGGTGGAGATATTCACAATAATTCACGATTAAATCGCGGAGATAAAATATGCGGTGAACACTTGTCGCCATGCGATTAGAGAAGCAGGCGGAAATGACGAGATGGGTCAAGTGTTGCGGCAGGTGTCGTCGGTCTCAATTAACCCAGGTCCGTGTCTAGGAGGTGCTGCCGCTCGTGGTCAGCGGACCAACCTGCCGTGACATTAGGCTGGAGCATCAACATTCTCCCCCCGTCAGCAACTTGTTGGTGACCAGATTCCCGAGAATGCCATGATAGAGCCTGAAACACTAAACGGAGAATATCAACAATGTCAACAGGGACCAGCATCAGAATCAGCTGGTAGAGATTGGTAACGGAACCAGCTTGGAGATCGGCGGAGTCAATGTCGTCGTTGCTGTCCTGATGGCCACAACTCTGGAGAGACCATCCTTCCCAGGGTATACAGCTGTGACTCGAGCTAGAGGTCACTTCGCTGGCGGGAATCTCTCATCGGAGAGCAGAACCCCAGAGCTGATGCAAATGTCGTTGGACGAATGATGCCACTTGGAGATGGACTGAAGCTGCTGCAGGTATCCTGTAGACCACTGCTTTCAGAAATACTGCAGCCTCTGCTGAATCAGTTGCCATCTTGAGAGCCGTCCAACGTTGAGATGGTCCAGTGAAGATTCCGGTAGAGCTATTGGAGCTTCTCCAATCAAAAAATGCCCCAGAGTGAGACACAACACGTCGTCGGGATCTTCAGAGAGAGTCTGTAGAGGTCTGAAGTTGAGCACAGCTTCAATTTGGGTAAACAGCGTAGTTCCTCGAACGTCAGTATAGTGTCCCGAATCGTTCGAGAGAGATGATACTTCACTGATTTTACCGCTGCTTCCCATTTTCCTCCAAAATGAGGGGCCCCAGGTGGATTGAAGGACCACCGAGTGCCGTCCTTCAGGCAGAATGCTGAGAGATGCTGGAACTCCTTTGATCCAGCTGAGAACAACCTCTTCAGCTCCTTGTCAGCACCGATGAAGTTCGTACCACAATCACTGAAGAGGTTCCTGCAACGACCTCGATGACTCACGAATCTCCGGTAGGAAGCAATGAACCCATCAACAGAGTAGTTGGTGACAGCTTCCAGACGAAGTGCTGACGTGGCCATGCAAACGAAGATCACTAACCAACCCTTTTGGGTTTTATGACCACGCCCCTTCCACGTCTTGATGGACACTGGTCCAGCATAATCTACACCAGTATTAGAGAATGGACGTCCTGGAGATAGACGTGCCGGTGGAAGCTGACCCATCAGTTGCTGAGCACGTACTCCACGTTGGCGCGCACATTCCACACACTTGAGAATGAAGGATCTTACTGGCGCTCTTCCTCCAATAATCCAGTAAGACCTCCTGACGCATGTCAACGTGAGTTGAGTTTCACCATGCAACGTTCGCTGATGAGAGTCCCTAATGAGAAGTTCAGCTAGCTCAGAATCTTTAGGGACGATCGCTTGATGTTTACTCTCTGGGTGCAGGTTAGAGAACTTCAATCTCCCGCCCACTCGGAGAATAACTTGATGGTCTATGAAGGCAGTCAGTTTGGTCAACGGATGAGATCTCCCAAGTTGTTGACCACGATAGATGATGCTGCACTCCGATTGTAGATAATGAGCCTGAGTGGCTCTGACCCAACACAGCCTAGCTGCCTCGATGCCATCACGACTGAGTGGATCCACGAGAGTTTCACCTGGTTTCCTCCTCATCCGAGCAACAAAACGTTGACAAATTGCTGTTATGCGCAGCAATTTGTAGAGAGAGGAGTACTTGGTGATGAGATCCCAGAGAGTAGAGTCTGTTGAGACAGTAAATATTAATCCGGGCTTCTCTTCCAGATTCGCTGACGGGTCTAGTTTTGCATTCTCTTTCGGCCACTGAGAGGAGGCAAATTGTAACCACTTCGGACCCGCCCACCACAACTTATGAGCATCGAGTTGAGCCACAGTAATGCCCCGAGAAGCACAATCAGCGGGATTCTCCTTAGCGCTGATGTATCTCCACTTTGCTTCTTGTACCAGTTCCTGTATGCTGGCTACCCTGTTATGCACATATTCCTTCCACCGGGAGGGATAAGAGCTGATTCAAGCCAGGGTAACAGCTGAGTCTGTCCACAGAAACACAGGAGCATTATCAAGGTTGAGTTGATCACGCACATACCTTGTGAGTTTCGCCAGCATGACTGCGGCGTTGAGCTCAAGTCTCGGGATGGTGAGTTGCTTAAGAGGAGCCACCTTTTAGCAGTAGCTAAAGAGATACACCATCCGAGCTTGTCATCTTCACATATACAACTGCCGCCATCGCTGTTTGCGATGCGTCTGAGAACCCGTGTATTTCCACCAGAGCATCCTTCTTCACTCCGAGTCAACGAGGAATAGAGATATTTTCGACCTGAGACAGCTCCTTACGGAACTGGGTCCACTTATCCGAGATTTGTGGTGAGAGCACATCATCCCAGTCCAGCTTCTCAACCTAGAGACACTGTAGAGTGCTTTTGCCCTAATCACCACAGGAGAAAGTAGACCCAGAGGGTCGAACAACTGAGCTATCTCAGACAACATGTTCCTCTTCGTAACCTTGTTGTTGGCCGGAAAGTGGATCGAGAACTTGAATTGGTCTGTGTTTGGATCCCACTTCAGACCAAGAATCTTCGTGATGGAATCCTATGGCAGCTTATGATCCTGAGAGACCTTCTGGATTCAGAGATCTGAGTAGAGACGGACTATTGCTATGCCACTTTACTAGAGGGAAACCACCAGCTAAGCAAAGATCCCTCACTTGCTTGAAGACTTCTAGAAGATCACTGTCCTCTTCAGCACCACCACAGATGTCATCCACGTATCTTCCGCTGGTCAACGGAGAGATTGCTAGAGGAAAACGATGTCCTTCGTCCGCGGCCAGTTGGTTGAGAACTCTACAGGCTAAGAATGGGGCCGATTTAGTCCCGTAGGTCACGGTGATGAGCTGGTAGGTGTTAATATGACCTTGAGAATTCCGCCACAGAATCTGTTGAAGAGGCCATTCCTCACGATGCACCTTGATTTGACGGAATATCTTCATGATGTCCGTCATGAAAATGTACTTGCTCTGCCTGGATGAGAGCAGCACGTCAGAGATATTCTTCTGCATTTTGGCTCCAATATGTTGGATGTCATTGAGAGACACTTCTGAGCTGGTCTTATTGGAGCCGTTGAACACTACCCTCAGCTTCGTTGTTTCACTACTTTCCCCGAGAACACCATGATGAGGAAAGTAGTACATAGGAGTTGACGAATGAGCTTGCCTTTGAGCAGAACACCGAGTGGAGACATGAGCCGACTGCTTCTCCTCAGGGACCCTCAACCCTCCTGAAGCCGAAACCCCATGTGCCAAGGTCATCCCCTCAGATCGACAGTCGAACTTCAAGCTCTCGGCATTCCTCGAATCAGTTAAGGCTGGAACACGCACCATGTGCCCCAGATATTCGTACTCCTTGAGAAAAACACTATATAGCTGAAGGGTCCGTTGATCCTTCTCCGTTCTCCGGAACAGGCTGGAGAGACATGCTTTAGCTCGACCATAAGAGTCGCCAAGCTCTGTCGGAGAACGTGTAAGAGGCAGGCGAACCACATAGCGCCCTGAGCTATCTCGTGAATGGGTGCGCTGGAAAAACTCCTCATATTCTATCTCTTCTTTCGTGAAATCACCATCTTCGGCTTTTGGGACTTCCTCCTGCAGCCAGAACGAGGTGAGACGGTCGTAGGGTTCCTCGTTGCTGACTGTAATGTGATTAGAGCTGATCACCATTGAAATCACCGCTGCAGTAGGTCCTAGTACCACCCCACCGAAGATAGTGTGCATTGCTATAGGGGAGTCTGAAGGCTCCTTGATGATCTGTGGCTCCACAATTGATCCGAAGAAATCCGCGTCAATGAGAAGGTCAATAGGTCTTGGCAACGATGATGTGAGATGGTCAAGAATGCAGGCCTTAATTTGAAGATGTTTGTCTGAGTGCAGAGACTTCAGACAGAACTGAGAGAATTCCTTTGAGTATGACCTTGATCCACCAATGCCAACGACAGGTAGCAAAGCTGGAGACTTCTACAACCCTAGCTTTACTGCAAGACTATCTGTAGCAAATGATAACTCAGATCCGGGATCCAACAGCATCCGAACTTCACAGGAACGTCCGTTCCCTGAAACGAGAGAAGCTAGCGCTGTTGCGAGAAAAACACCTGGTCTGAGTTGAGATGACCATTCATGAAGTGATAATGCTACAGATGGAGAATTACTTGACAGCGACGGCCGTAGAGAACGTTCTGAAGTTACCGGAGCGGCTGTTGATGATGTCGTTGGTTGAGAAGGTCACTGCTGCACTGATGAAGGCCCCAGAACAGCGGACTGTATAGGACGGGTACGAGACTGAGACCACTGACCTTGAGACTTCAACTGGTCTGGTTGAGATGACTGCAGAGGACCATTCTGAGGGCGTATGATGTGGATCATCGAGTGGTGGCGCTTGTGACACACAACGCACATCTTCGTGGTCCTACAGGCATGAATGGAGTGCTTCCCCAAGCAGTTGAAGCAGAAATACTTCTTCTCGACGAACTCCTTCCTCTTTTCCGGTAACAACTGCTTGAATTTGGGGCATTTATCGATGAAATGCTCCTCTTCACACATGGAGCAGGCATTGGCGGTCATGTCTGCCCATGACTGCGAACTCGACCCGCGAGCCTGTTGAACTGCATTGCCAGTTGTGACATTCAACACCTTTGCTGGCTTTGCTTTGGGTGGTTGAGAGGGCACACTCGAAGTTGGCGTCTTGGGAGCATGCAGAGGATGCAGCTCAATCCTCTCTCTAGCTCTTGCTCTGCTCAACATGAACTCCCTGATTTCCGCATATGTTGGAAAGGTGGTGGTGGAGCCGATCTTAACTTCCCACGTCTCCAACGTCTTAAAATCCAACCGGCTGGAAATAATATGCACCAAACGTGGTCCCAGTATTCGACAGAGCGCCCCAACGACTTCAGGGCGTTGAGAGCTTCGGTGGTGGAGTTGAGGAGAGCATTAAACTCTTTGGCGGTACGGTTGATGATCCTCGGAGTAGAGAACCACCTTTCCAGCTGGGTAGAGATGAGGAGACGTTCGTTGTCATATCTCGCGATAAGCATATCCCAGGCTGGAATGAATGAGTCTTGAGCTACTGGCAGAGTTGAGATCAATTGCTTTGGATCGCCAGCAAGAGAGGTCAAGAGATAATGGAATTTCTCGACCGTAGAGAGGTTATTGTTGCCGACGACCATCGAGAGAAAAAGATCTTTGAAGGGTGTCCACTCAGAGAAGTCTCCTGAGAAGGTAGGCAGCGAGATCTTCGGTAACTGCCTTTGAGTCACCTGAGCAGATGGAACTGGTGCAGCGGGTCGACGAAACGACTCCGAGAGGTCCACGGTCTCATCAATGGACTTGATTAGTCCAATGAACGACGTTCGAGCCGTGGAGTACCGCTGCAGACAGATATCATATACCCCCTGCTTCACGTAATCGTGCTCGAGCCCCTCCGCGCTATCCTTCCCAGTGAGCAGGCTCACGTGCTGCTCCTCGAATTGGCTCCAATAATTCTTCAGAATATCCAGCTTCGACTGCAACTCCGTAACTGAGAGCTCCTTCACTGCCGCTGACGATGCTTCCATGTAGAGAGACTTAATAAACTTTGCCCTACTGGCTTGAATAAATATTCTCCCTGTAAAAGACATGCTCACCCGATAACGAATACAAATTCAGCGAACAGAGAAACCACAAAAAAAATCGTAGAGAATGCGACAGTGGAGAAAAGCACAGCCAATTGCGAAAAGATTGAAATCAAGCAGAAGCAGCAGCGAAGTTCAGAGAAAATCAATAGAGAAAAATAATAATAATAATTGACTTCCCTTGAGAAGGTCTGATGGCAGTAGTGATGGTCGCAGAACTTCAGCAAACAGCGAGAAGAATAAAAAATCTACTTCTAAAGTGCTGGAGAAAATATCAGGGCGCCCCAAATTGGGTGTCGCTGCTGGAGTCCAACAATTCAGTGGCGCGCACAAATGTCAAAAAGTCTGAGATGAGCACCACTGCACTACTACGTCACGCAGGGGAGGAGCCACGTGGGAGGAGTCGATGGGTGGAGCAAAGGGGGTGGAGCCGACACACGAATTCCCGCGCTTTTCACAACACCACGCGCACTAAAGTTTCACTAAAAAACAATGTTCACTTTTCCCGAATATCCGGCTCGAAGGACCAACTGTTTCTGCGAGAGTTAAACAAAAAACCGATGGAGAGCTGGGATTCGGGAAAGGGTTGAGAAGGTCACAGTAAGAACGACGTCACTGTGTGCGTGAGTAGAGTCATAATAAATATCTATATTTCTTACAAAATATACACAAAGCTCGAAAAATATATTCGCGTCACAATGACAACTAATCGTTAACAATTAGTTTGAAATGAATTAGAGAGTTTATACGGTGGAGATGTTCACAATAATTCACGATTAAATCGGGGAGATAAAATATGCGATGAGCACTCGTCGCCATGCGATTAGAGAAGCAGGCGGAAATGACGAGATGGGTCAAGTGTCGCGGCAGGTGTCGTCGGTCCCAATTAATTGGACACGGTCGGTAACCCAGGTCCGTATCCAGGAGGTGCTGCCGCTCGTGGTCAGCGGACCAACCTATCGTGACAGGAGGCTGGAGCTTTAACAGTTTCAAATAAGACTCTCAAATGGTCTTACATTTTCATCAATTTTATTGATGCCTCAATTTTACATTGTCACTCGATTTTTCATCTAACTGAACTTAAATCTAGCTAGAGATTTTTAAATAAGACCCGTTGCCAATCTTAAAGTTGCGATCTCAAAATTTAAGATCAAAACGGGTCATGAACGATCTTAATATTTCACCAGCATTCTTGAAGCACGCGATGAGGGAATCGCTCATCGGCTTCTCGTAAGAATAGAGGCAAATATCGCCACAGGTGGCGCTATCCGGGATTCAGCGTCACGAGTCCCATATCTGTAACATGCGGAAAATTTTGCCCGAGCGGAAGAAAATTCTTTTTTTATACTCAACCCTGATCGATAGACAACATTTAGCACCACAAGAGTGAACTAGAAGAGTTACTTGAGGCATATAAAAAAAATTTAGCTAAATATTTTCACATTTAGTGT